GCTCTTTTAGAAAGGGACCTACCTACGTGAGTTTCACTCAGGCCTCTATCTTACCTATGAATTTGATAACTCCTTCCCAGTTTTATCTCTTCGTCTTCACTGGATTCTCTGAGTCTTCCTTCCCTGTGAACTTCCATCTAACAAAGGCTTTAACTATCCACACATTTTTTTTTTGCTTCATGAAGCAAAAGATTATGATGTATACTTTATTTCAATAAGATTATTTAAATACCATTACTATGTCTGCTGCAAAAAGACAGATAAAAATACGGAAATTATTTACAACATCAATTTCTCAATTTTCTTTATGTACAGACAAGGTATACTCTAAAGCTCAGCGAAAGGAATTTCAAAGCAAATAGCAAACAAATTCCCTGAGTGAGAATATAAGTGCCTTTGTCCAAACAATGGGAAAATTGAGACAAATTTATTTATCTGTGGATCACAACCCACTCAGTTCAGGGTTGAGAAACCCACTCTTTCACTTTTGCAGCTGCTCTTTCCTTTTTGTCTTCTTAACATTTTACCTTGGTTTAATTCAGAATATTTCAAAGCATTACTGAAATAACAACTAAAACAACTGATTTTGAGTTCAAATGTGCTTGGAAATCACTGAGGAAAATAAGCCACCCCCCCTTTTTTTCTTTAATCAGAGTGTTTTCTCAAGACTTGTAAATGCTTATGTATAAGAAAACCTATGAAGGAAGCAACACCCATGAGTTTACCTGGCATTTCCTGCCACTTCTTTTTTTCTTCTTGTATTTTTATGCATTTGGTACAGGGTCTCACTATGCAGCTTGAATTTGAAGTGATCCTTCTGTTATCAGACTCCCCAGCTCTGGGATTAGAGGCATGTGCCACCACGCCCAGTCTTAATAGCATGGCTCAGCTCATCCTGGCGCATGGCTGTCACACCAGGTGGTGCTGGGTATCGAAATCTTGCCTATGCAGGCACTTCCTCCTCTGAGCTATCTCGCCAGCCCTTTTCATGCCACTCATGTGTGTGTGTGTGTGTGTGTGTGTGTGTGTGTGTGTGTGTGTGTGTCTTTTAGGATTAGTGGCTAGAGAACACTGGCTTGATAGCAGAAGCCACTTCAAAAACTTAAAGAAGAAAATGTAAAGATGCAAAAAGTTTTGTTCTTTTTTTAAAACATACAAGTTATTACTTTACTTACCATCAGAACTAATAACTTCCTGGGAAGAAATACAATTTCTAGTTGGCAACATATGGCATATTCTTTGTAAAAAGGCTGTGTTCAAGACCTTAAGCCAAGTAGGATGAAAATTGAGGATTGCATCCATAACGACAAAAATAAAAACAAAGAAAGAAAAGGTTCTGAAAGCCAGGCTTATCAAAATAGAAAGTCTTTTCTAAATTCTAAAAGGTCTCCTTTCTAGATCCAAAGCCAATCTTGGCAAATTTAATGACAGAATTTTACCCAAACTCATAGTAACAAAAATACACAAAAGTAGGGATGTTTCTATCAGATAAATAGTGGAGAAAAAATTCCCAGGAATGAGAATAGGGCAGATTCCCCATGTAGGAGGCAGATGCCCCAGGTCAGAATCTAATCTCATTCTCAGAGAACCAAAGGCCCTGACCTTTGGGTGTTTGGCTGAAGATGGGAAGTGGGTTGACTGAAACATCATACCATACAGAACAGGTCTTCTGGAACAACCATGATATTGATCTCTGCCCAAGATATCTAGAAGATGTAGGGACCCTTTGACTCTCCATCTACTTTGACTGGAATTTGGGGGAGACAGGGATGCTAAGACCAAGCAACACCAGTTTAGATGAGGTAAATAGCAATGGAAGGACCCTATAAGCATGTTTATAGTTTAATAACTATGGGTTTTCATTGTAACTAGCAACCCATGATCATAGAATACCCGCTGAGAAAAATCACACTGGACATTCACCAGCACAGTGTGTCTAGGAGTCCGCAAAGACCAAATCTCTGGTGTTTAGCAGTGAGGAGCACACACATTGTTTCCTAGCCCCTGTAGGACATCTCAGAATTCCCTACGGTCTTCTAGTCGTCTTGGAATGAGGTATGGAGATTCTTCTTTGAAAAGAAAGATAACCTCAACTGAACATTTAGACTTCAAATTCATCAAACATTTACCCAGATTAGGTTTAATTAAATATAAAGCCTAGTCTAAAATGAAAGATTGAATTATGAGGAGGACAATAAAAATATCTTTTTTGAACCATTTTAACTTAGAATACATGAATGCTCACATGTCACATGTCTAATAACAAGCTGACTGGAGTACCCTAGAGATTCATGATATGCTTTATACTATTTTTAATATCTGTCCCTTTAATATATGCTATATAAAAATAAAAAAGGAGAAAACATGGATTTTGTTTCTTCCCTTCCACTCATTCCACCAAAGCCAAAATAAATTTTAAGACAGTTTTATAAAAGGATATCACAGGAAATTATAGAGAGAATCCTGGGAAAATCGGTCCTGAAGTCACAGGACTTAGTTTTAGAACAGTAGTAGTTATGGCCACAGTTTTCACATGAAGCATTCTGTTAATAAGCTGAGGCAAATATCTATCTGGACTAGTGAATTCCAGTGAAAGTAATAAGTGAAGTTTTCAATCTTCAAAAATGTTTGAACACCACTCCTTTTTAAAGGAGGAAGCCCAGAAAGTCTCATAACTGGATATTTCCCCTGGGGAACTAATATTCTCTCCCAGGTCAAACTTGAGCTCTCTTTACCATTCTGTGAGGCAATACTCACAAGAAAATGATTCCTCCTATTTTTTTTCCTTCCTGCTCTTTTACATTAACATTCACTTTGTTTTAAGAAATCACTGAATGTCTATTTTCTAATTAGCACTTTCAAGAGGAGACAAACTGAAGACACAGCAATAGACAATTTTAAAAGTTGACAACCAGGCCTTGGATGTTGAAATGACAAAGTTGACTCACTGGTGGCTCTTGCTCCATGTGTAAGATGAGGTGGATAAGACGTTTCATCACAGAACTAACTCTGCAAGCAGCACCATGCAAAGCAGGTGAATATTGATTCTTAGTCTTAAGCTCATACATAATTAATAATTCTACTTAAAGCTACAGGCATTAGTATTTTTTTCCTGATTCAATGGTGTTAAAAAAACTCATTATGTTTAATATTCCATAAAGCGTGACTTCCCATCTCCTAAGAAGTCATTCACATTTCTTCTTTCCCTAAGCCTTCTTTGACCATCCATCCCTCAACAGTTACACCTTTCTCTGAAATTCAAGAGCATTTATTGCTTATAGCACTCACTGGGCTTATGAAGCTATATATCTTTTTTTTTTCTTTAATCAACATAGTTCAATAGATAATAAAACCCTCCCAGGTAGGAACTACTTTAGGTTCCTCTTATTATGCCCAGGTTTCTTTTTTTTTTTTTTTTTGCTAGATCCTGATCTGCACCTCATAAATGTTCAATAAATGTTTATTGTTAATGATGATATGCTTTGGACACATCTGAAACAATCTGGATAAACACAATACAGGAAAAGTGCAAATCATCATCTAACAAACATGTAAGCCAAGAAATCAATATGAGAGCTGTCTGAGCACCAAGTGAAAGACAGAGTAATACCCTCCTCCCTGCTCCAATATGCAACATGGTGATGGATGATGCTACATAAAATTATCGATAAAGACCCAATGTAGTCACAATGATTTCTGAGCAGGAGCAAGAAATATTAGATACAGAATGTAACATTACAACAAAGGCAATAGAACAAAAAGACCGAACTTCGCAAAACAGATACATTCAGTTGATGAAGAACCTCTTTGCAAAGACGTAGTTCCAAGCATAATGAAAGTGTGATGCTTTCACATCCTCTCATCTACCTATCCAACATAAAGACTGATGTTTGCTACTCCCCTCAGGATATGAGGTATGTAGACCTTGCCACTTCAACAAAGGAACAAGAAGGCAAACTCTGCTATTTAACCTTTGCCAAAACAAACTTAAACCTTTCACATGAGTTAAATTCTCACAATATGAGTGAGGCTGAGTAAATTCATGCAATTTTTATCTATATGCATAAGAAAAGGTAGAACACTTGACTTCTGGTCTGAAATTCTGTCTTCATCTGTAAGATTTGGCTTCAATTAGCAGAAGAAAGTCTGTGCCAAAGCTATCCCAGCAATAATCTCCATTTTGTCTCTTTCTCTCATTTACCTTTCTTTACCATCCCTTTTCTTTAATCCAGGAAGGGGCTAATAGAAAGCTATATGAATTTGGCGAAAGTATAGGAAATATGCTAAGTGCTAGTATCAAAATCACTAATATGAAGCAGAAATGAGACCAATACAAATGTCTCCAGGTCCTGACAGACATTTGGGTTGGGGGTGAGAGAATGAGGATCAGTGGTCGATGCTTGCTCCCCAAGTTGTATTTAGCTTGCTATTACATGAGCAGCCCTGGGAGAATAATTGTTTCAACTCTTCACTTCATTGGAATCCATTTGACTGATTTTCCATATAATTTATTAGCCCCTTGGTTTAATTAACCAATCTACAAGACATGAATTAGTACACTTACTCCTCATGTCATCTATATCCATGCCTTTCAATTACTTTCAAAATTTTGAATTGGATAATGAACTTGCACAATTAATAGATTATACAGGTACAACTCTAATGGACAGATTTTTCTCCAATCTTAGTAATCTTTTCAGTGTATAAAATCCAGCGTCTAAAGAAATTGGAGATTGTAATCCATAGGTTGATAGATAGCAGAAATTATTTCTAAAACCAAACTATAGCCAAAGGAATACAAACACCATTACTTCTCTTTGAAAAGATGGCCTATGGCATCTTTCTGTGGACTACAATTCTCATTAAAACCAAGAGGTTTTGTTCCAGGAAAAAAAAAATCATGTATTCCAAAATTTAATGAATGCAAGAAGCCATTGTTATAAGATACAGATTTCTTTCTAGGTTCTGAAAATATAGTTTGAAATGACTGGCATACTCACGGTCTTCAGGTCCTGTTGGTGTGGTGAGCTGAAGTGCTGTAAGCCTTTTCCTTGTCTGTCGATAGAAGTGGGAACTTCTCAATGAGATGTAATCACATCCAGAAATATCCAAGAAAAGCAGTAGAAAGGGTCTAAATCAAAATACAGAAAAGCTTACTGACCACGGCTACGCCTTAGGATGATGGCGGCAACACCCACATGGTATGTTGGAGCAATGGTCAGAGCTAGCAAGGGACATTATAGGGTGAAAGGTGGGTTTGTCCATGAGATGGCATTAGGCCTCATCTGTGGGTGCTTTTATCAGGGCAGAGAAGAAGCAATTAGCTCTCACACTTTTGTAGTCAAGTCCTGTATGAAATATTATATGGATTAAAGTGTATAGGTAGTTATGTCATACTTCTTTAGGTCTGATGCTATTTTGGATGTTCTGCCTGAGGTGACATATACATGTGTTGTTCTCATGAATATAATTGTATATCTGGATATGCCTATATACAAATATCCCCATATACATGTATGAGTCAAAAGAGGAATAGACATAGATTGGGGCCATTTTTATGACAAGTGGACATTATGTTGGAAGAAGTAGATTAGATTCTGTTGAGTGTGTATTGTGTGCTAGTGATTTTTGTGCATTTTTTCCCTTAACCTTCATAGTAGCTATAGAAAGCAGTAATTTTGCTCAACATCTACCAAAGGGGAAACTTGTTGGATTTCATACAATTTAAGGAACTTGCCCAAGGTCATAAAACTGGGTAGATATGGGGCCTGAGTTAAAATCCAGTCCTGTTGAACTTCATAACTGTAATATAATCTTCAGACCATAATATAGTCATGCCTCACATCCTATACACTTGGTGTGGTTTCTTGTAATGTGCAAATAAACTCCAGGGAATATGGTTTGTGGTATGTTTGTGCAAACAATACTGACATATGCATTACACAAAATGGAAATAACATATATGCAAAAGTTTGATCTAGGGTGGATGACAAATATATATAAAAATTAAACAAAGCATTCTACTTTCTCCCTTTTTACCTCAAGACAATCACTGAAGAACACCATCATAGAAAAATACACAAGAATGAATTCCAATATGTAATTCAATAAACATAAGAGTCATTTAAAAGAATATTAAGCTCATTTTAAAGTTGACATATCAAATCCACATGTACACATAATTAAAGCCATTCGTTATTTGCCTCAAAATGCCTTAGCATTAAGGTAACAACATGAATTCCATTTATATTTCCTCTTTATACTGTAGGAAAAGTCATTTCAATTGAGATGGTTTATGCTCATGTGCTTTCTTAACTGTAGACCATTGTCAATGAAGACTTGGTTGTCTTTGAGTGGCAATCTTTTGATTGTTTTCTTGTCTTGAAAGCATTGTTTCATAAACTGTGTTTTTGTGACAGAGAAGAGAACAAAGAATATATTGAACAAGTAGTACAATGTCTGAAAAATAAATGCTGAATGGAAGTAACCAACAGTATTTATGATGAACATCAGGAAGAATAAAAAGGATCAGAGTACGGAGAAAGAGTTGAGAGGGAGAGTGATACAAGAAAATAAGAGAAGGAGAGGTAGATGGGATTCTAGGGAGACATATAGGATCAAAGTGACAATTTGTAGTCCTATTCTTAAATGTCAAAGATAAGCTACAAAAAGTTTGAAATGATATGGAACTGAAAGTATATACAGGCACCTTGCAAATCATCCTATTCTTCATCATAATCATTGTGCAGTTTTCTGTTTTTGTTGGAGGTTGATTAGCATTGCTGTAAGCCAAAGAAGCATGTGCTGCGAAATGAACCCATGGCAGAGATTGTGGGATCAAAAGTGAAGCAAAAAGGTAAGCAAAACTCCATCAAACTGTACTTTGGGCCCTGGCAAATATGTAAGTTGTGCTGTTCACAAATCATCTTTTTGCCACAAGGTAGAGGTGAACTCTGGCACTTCAATGCCAGATGGAAACTTCCCCTTGAAAAATCAAAGCAAGATTGAGGTATTTTCTTGAATGTTTCAAATCTCCAACAAACACTATAGGAAAGGACAAGTCAGGACCTAGGCAGTGGGAGGAAAATGAAATATTATCTGTTGTCTTTAAAAGTAAATTTTCACTTAGCAAATTTCTCAAGTGTTTTTTGTCATATTAGGCCCCAGTTTTTGTTTCTTTCATTTATGCTGAAGAATACTGGAAATTTAATTAGTAAAACTTAGCAATCATAAAAGGGCTACCATTTATTGAAGACTTACTATATGCACAGCACTAATTTCCATGTTTTATATCATTTTATGTGGAGTATAAGTCTATAAATTAGGTACCGTGTTAGAGATGAGAAATGTTAGGTTAAGACAACTTAAATAACCTGGTAAAAATCACACAAATAGTAGGTTACAGAGCTAAAACCCAAATTCAGGTGCTAGTTGAAGCCAGAGCTCTTTCTGAGTTCTAGCCTTTCATGCCTAGCTGACACTTATATTAGTGCCAAGCAATCAGGAGGCAGGGGATAATGCTCACCCTTGCTTGCTTCCAGGGGGTATTGACCTTGGAGTGTCACCTCTTTCAGCAAATTCTATCTTAATGTGTTTACAGTTTGAGAGAGTATCACATTTCTGTTTTGGAGAGCCTGGGTCTTATTGTAAAAGTCTAGTATTATTCCCTGAGCTCAAGAAACCACGAATGGAGAGGTCAATAGTTGGAAGTTGCTTCCCACAATATTTGAAGAGGTCTGAAGGGAGACATCTGACTTTCTTTTTCTATCGCATTTTGGTACATTCATACTCACATAATCACATAAAAATATTAAGATGATAGATAGATAGATTGATTGATAGATTGATAGATAGCATGAACTGGGGGGAGAGTTCTGAAGGTGGCCTTGTTTTCAGCAAATAGTCTCCTGAGCTATTAGAGTACTGTAGCAAATTGTAACAATTCTATAGTATCTACCATTTAATCATTGCCTCACTAAAGATCATACAAATCAAGGAAAACTGGTGTTTGAATAAATTTTGTTCTTTTTATTTTTTCAGTCTCTTTGTCTTCTTATCCTAGAATGGCAAGATGAATGGCAAAACAGAGGCCCATAGATGCCTAAGGTTTACATTAGGTTGCAATTCACTAGAATATAGCATGCTTATTTTCTGGTCCAAAGTAACCACTGATTCAAGGCATTTCCACAGATTCTGAACAATGCCTTACTGGAAGTAAAAAGTGTTTGGTGGTCTGCGTTAGTTAAAATACTTAGAAAATGCAACATTTTCTCTCATTTTCCATTTTACAGAAATGTAAAATGTGTACTTTTGCATATTAACAACTCTCATAAATCCTGCTATAAATTTTTAAATTGAGTTCACTCACAATTTTCATTGTTTATTATTTTTGCATCCTTTAAACACCTATTACTATCAAGAAGTACTAGCATTCCTCAAAATTAATTTTGAATAACGTAAAAAAAAACCACAAAGAAAGATTCAGAGCCAATTCTTAGGATTTTACACACTACAAATAATGGTGCAAATTATAATGATAATTATTTCTTTTCACTGATATTTTATTTCAATATTCATACTATGTAATTTGAGAATGCTGCCATACCTCTGTATCAGGTTTCTCCAACCCCCAACTTCTGCCATTTGATTAACTCTCTGGATTCCTATACCCTTCCTCTTAGGTCACTCACCTGTAACACCCCTACTGTCCTCAGAAAATCCAAAGTCACGAGTAGGCATTTGATTTCATTTCAGCTCCCAAACCCTTAATCCGCTCTCCTCCAACATGAGTCCTTTACTGAGCTCACCAAGCCTTACTCTGATCCCTGAACAAGACACAGGCCTTCCTGTCACCCTGCCTTTGCCCATTGTCTCTCTTTGCACCTGCACACATGTATTTCTTGAGGAACTGTAGGTTTCTCGGAGAGCAGAGGTTGTTACCTGCATATCAGTGCTTCGCCCATGGCATCTGGCCTGGATTTGTACTCAGATTGCATCAACTGCAGCTGTCCATCCACACACCCTTTACTCCCTAGCTCATATCTCTCAAAACTGGATGTCCACAGAGTCATTTTAGGTGAGCCAAAATTTAGAAACACATGTGACTTATTTTTAAGTTGACGTATTCTGATAAAGGCTTGTTAGTATAGAAGTTAGAAATATATAAAATATTTGCATTTGAGGGGGAAAATCAATTCATATTTTACTGGTATATTTTAAAATTTTCATCACAAGTCTAGACCTTCAAGCCTAAGGTTTTGTGGGTTATAGGAACACCTCTGGGTGACTGTGACCTCGTGCCAGATGCACACTCCATCTTCCAGGCAGTTATATGTCTGCCTAATAGACATAATTGCAGAAATAATTAGTTATGGAGTTAACGAATGAGTTGATGCAGAGGAAGAGAAGGAGGCTGAGAAAAAAGACCATCTATAGTCAGAACATGTGGCTTTGGGTCCCAGTTTTGTAGCTGACATCTGAGTGAACCCGACAAAAGCCATTTAACCCCCTGCAGTTCTTTCCACTGAAACATAGGAAGTATAATATTTATACTCCACGAGTCATCGTGGGAATTAACTGTGGTGATTGTTGTTCACCCATATAAATTCTAAGGGGTTCCGCAATTGGTAGTTATTATTACGGAAACATTCTGAGAATATCCAGTTTTTTAAAAAGTATCATTAGAATTGTTTCTAGTTCCTTCAAAATGATTTGTCATAAAATGTGTGATGATTTTGTTGGTATTGACAGTCAGCAGAGTCTATGTCTAATTAAGAATTCTCTTTTGTTTTTGAAGGTTGATGGCTAAACTGCTGTTAGCAATACAATTAAGTAGTAAGGCTAAAATTACCATTTCAGATGCTGATTCTGGCTTTGAGTTTTCAACTACACACACACACACACACACACACACACACATGCACACACACACTATGGAGTGTTCCTCCTTCTTTCCTCTTCCTTTCCTTTCTCTTCCTTCCTTCCCTTCTCTCTCTTCTTTTCTTCTATTCATTTTTCTTCCTTCCTTCCTTCCTTCCTTCCTTCCTTCCTTCCTTCCTTCCTTCCTTCCTTTGTTCCTTGTTCCTTCCCTCCTTCCTATTTTCCATCTGTCTTCCCTTTCTCTTATCTCCCTTAAGCCTCCATCTTTTCCTTTTTTCTAACAAGAGTCACGAAACATTCACATGGAAAATGCCACATATATCTTTGATTAATGTCATATCATACTTCTTCCCTGCCTAAACCTGTCTGTAACACTTGTGAAGCCCCCTCATTTTCTTTAGAGATAGACACTAATAGATAAACCATGCATAACTGTGTTATTTACCAATTAGGCTTGAAAACAGATTCCAAAGTTAATGTATAATCTTCTATTCAGGCTACTTGGTTACTTCAGAAAGTTTCTAGAACTCTTTGTGGCCTATAGGGATGATATGTTTCTATGATGTGGTGGAAATTATTGGTTCACTGGACCTAAATGCTCTCAGAGTCTACATAAAGGTCCTTATTTCCACAATGCATTGAAAAGACAGCAGCTCTAGTTCCCTGCATACTCACAGCCTGTAGAGTATTGATCTGATAATATATCAACTCAGCATCCTCTGGGTATCCTTAGCTCCCCAAATACACATGTCTCCATCAAGAAACTTAAATCCACATCTACATGACAACCTCTTATGGCCTCTACTGATCAGATTATTCTTGACATTAAAGCATAGTATTTCCTCTTTCCCTGAAACATAAGGTCATGAAAAAAATATTCCCTGAGATAGAATAAGAGCAATGCCATAGATGTCCAATTATAAACAAGAGAAATGCATAAAAATATGATTATAGTTTCCAAAGTGTAATAAAACACAGTAAAATTACTGGCAAATTGTTGTACATTATGGATAACCTGGGGATATTAATGGAAAGACTTTTTTTAAAATAAAGCTTGTGTGGATGAATTTTCAGTACTGATTTCCCTGAGGGGACACTGTTAACAATTCTTTAATCAAATGTACTCATCAAACAAATGAAGGAGGGGAGAGCTCAAGTAAAGGAGATGGCTAGTAAACTGGTCTTCCAGGTTTCCAGAACTGTAGTCTTCTGAAAAGCCTATCTTCCAGTGAGTGACATGCGAGATGGGCTATCTGGAATATTCTGGGAAAAGGCTCAGAACTTGATTGCATTCCCATCTCATCTACTGGGACATTACTTTCTCAATTTCAGCATACAAATCAATTGTTTTATATGACCACTATGTCACTTATGCACATGAAACTACACACTTTCCTCCTGTATTTCCATAGGCTACTTGTCCACAGTGGCCTCTCCAGGTCATCTCTCTCTTTTGCTTAATGCAGAGCTCCAACTAGGATTAATGATGTGATCTACTCTTCCCTACACTCTGTTGGCTTTACAATTTACCCTTTCACTTTCTGCGCACTGGAATGGGAGGTCTGCAACAGATCCTTTTGTTTAAATCACAGCGCTTCACATATGTTAAGTGCTTACTCTGTATTTGTTGAGTAAAAGAATAAATGGATTCAGAACATGTGTAGCCAGGGGTCTGGATTCTCTGAAGCACTCCATCTTCCACAAGATCTTATATTTTTAATATGTGAGAGATTGAAAAGATTTCTAAACTCATAGAATTGGTTCTGAATGGAAGGAATTTTGGCCTCAATGTAAGCAGTGAAGTCTTGAGTGGTGTGTCTTTGAATTGCACCTACTCAATCTAGTTTTCCAGCAAGGGCTCATGCGCATCACAACAGCAGTGACCTTTTCCCTACTACTGCGTTTAACCCCCAATGGTCCTCATTATATTGCTCTGTTCAACAAATGTGAATGTCCAGCTCTTTCTGCTCCCTGTATCCCCAGATAATTTTGAGTTGACTCTAATAAAATGTTTTGCAACTTACAGCATGAAGTCGTTAAAGATTCTCTGTCAGGTAATTGATAAAAGAACAGTCCAGCCTGTCCTTTGCATTCACTAGCTCAAAGTTCATGTAACCTGTACTTGTACAAATCATACCTAAACCACCTTTGGCTTGTTCCTGTGCAAGTCTCATCCATCAGCTGATGAATGGTGATGCTGATCTCTGGCCCTTTATATTGCCTGACAGCTGGTGCTGCTAGAGGGGAGTCCAGGCCCCCACTGCCTCTAGGATGCTGGGATGCAAGAGGAAAAGTGCTTGACACAGAATAATGTTCTGTCCCATACTTACTAAAAGCTTCCAGTACTGACTTAGTTTTACACGATGCTCAAGATCACAGTTGTACCTCTATGGATGCATCTCCTACCTAAATCTTTTGACCAAAGCCAAGGAACCTGTAACCCAAAGCAGTTCTGTTCTGACTTAGCTATACCCCCACCCAATGTCTTCTAACTTTTTTCTCTTGCCTTTTCATGCAAAATTAATATGAAGTATAAAACACAAGGGAATTTCTGGGAAGCCACTGGGTAGATAGTTTCCCTGAAAATATTGTTTGAACTTTAAGCTGAGGTTTAAGAATTTGAAGCTGCTTTCAATTCATGAAAATGGATTGGTTGAATCTGGCTCACTAATATAACATAGTGGCTTATATTCTAAGTGACATCTCCCTTGGTGTCAGCCAGCTAACTTGAACACAAGGTAGCAATATTCTATTAGAAGTGGCATGGAGCAGTCAGCTTATCACCTATAATAAATTTACAATATCTACCTTATTTGTGAGGATGTTCTTTATAAGACAAACTAAAAATACATGTTCGTGTTCCTTGCCTGTGAACCTACAGTTATACAGAATATAAAGACACCATCATACAATGTTCTCAGAGGGCCCCAGATCCCAGACTCTTTCAGAACAGTCAGAAGTTTCCATAGTCCACAGAGAAATGCAATCATCAGCTTTACCACAATATTGTGGCAGACCAGAAGATTTCCATTTACTAGTCATTCAGTAAGGCCAAAGAAGTAGAATAGATTGTGGAACTCCCAGGAGCACAGATAGAGCTCTAAACATCTTACTCTATTGACAGGAGCTTCAAGGAAGTGGCATTCATCTGTCCCAAACAAACTCACTTTAACTTGTGGGGAATTATCTTTAGCTTTTGCATTATCACTCTCTAATGATGTACAAGTAATTAGGTATCAGTTTGCCTAGTGCTTGACTGAGCATTAACATATGCAAGATTTATCACCTATGTTATATTCTATGTGGATTTATGTACCTTCATGATAAGTTATATTCTCAACCTCTACAGAGAAAGGATATGAATTATTAATATTCACTCTAGATCTCTGTAAAACTAAGTCTTATACTATGGTACTAAACATTCAACAAATGCTCTGGCCCACTAGCTGGCTGTAACATCCACATTTTATCATGTTAGACATGCTCATTCTCTCAGGTGAAGTACTTTGGGCAATACTGCATGATTCCTGAAGCTAATACAAGAAGGCCAAGTAATTAGATAATCTCTTCCTACAAGGCCACATTTTATGGTGATCTTTCTAACAGGATAGTCTAAATTAGAGTTGGTTTGGATCATCGAAGAGGCTTTAAGGTACACTAATTGAAAGATACCATTTGTGAAATAACAGCTACATGTTTCCACATCAACGAAAGAAGGATCATTTCCAAAAGGCCTGAATACTATCTATATTATTGAATAATAAGACCTACAGATATTTTAATGTCAAGAAAATTATTACATATTACAAGTGTAACATACATGCAATGCTGCAAGTATTACTCCCACAAATAGGTAGAAAGCAAAAGAATTTCCAAAAGGTACCATGAAGGATCAAAGGTAGAAAGAGCTTTGTCTTACCCTCTCGTTTCTCCTGGGCTTCCAAATGACGGTTTTGAGAAGAGCAGGCACTGTCACCACAGAGACCACACCAAGCGTCAATTTGCAATCTTTTTCAAATGGTCAAGGTGAAGAACACAGCCGACTTGGAGAATGCATGAGTGTCCAGGGATTTGTTATCCTAGCCACTCAGTCTCTCCTCGTTCTTCTCTGGTTCCTCAGCACTGAAATGGGTCCGTCATTCCAGAAGATTTGCTTTTGAAGTGCCAATCTCATTAGCATCAGGTTCTCCTTCACTGGTTCAGTGATATTTGAGGACCAGGTCATTTTTTGATTGGAGAATTTGTTTCTTTTTAAGTTGCCAAACAAGCCATCTCAGGGGCCCAGCCAGAACCACTGGAAGATCATGCTGGCCACTCTTGTTCTGGTTGACTTTCCCTGACCACATTGTTTCCTCCTTTTATTAATCTTTACACATTACTGAGAGGTTAAATTTTTACAAATCTTGTATTCATCTGACATTTTGTCTTCAAGATGGTAGAAGATAAGAAAAGTTTGTACACCTGGCCTTCCCCAGGTGGAAAACTCCATCGGCTGTCTTGGAATGTCAGTCCATGAGCAAACTGCATCTTACAATTCAGGTGGGATGGGTAAGTCCAAAGAAAAGACCAAGGGTAATATTTTCCCAAAGGCTCTCAACTCTTCTGGGTGAGAATAGACTGAGGTTAAGTTGCACAGTGAAGATGTTGCACACTGCAGTTGTTTTCACACCTAAGCAACTTAAAACTTGGGGGACTAAAATTTCAGCCTCTATCACTGTCATTTCACTCTCTCTTTGGTATTATCATCTATTTATAAAAAGCTTTTATTCCTCAACATTGAGTAGAATGACTTGCAAAAATTTGCCTTAAGCATGGAGTAGAAACTAAGGCTCACTTGTGTTCACAAGTTCCTTTGAACATCACATAATTGGTCCCTAGATTTTACTGAAATCTTAGATTTTATTCTGAAAACCTTACATTAGCTATGACTTTATCCTAAGGATCAACTCCCTTTAAGCCTTTATATATATTCGTTGCCTTTGGAAATGGAACTGTTTTTCCAAAGGCTCAGCATGCTCTCCTTTGGGCTTTTCTATATCTATAGCAACCACTCTGTTGGAAAACCTTACAATACAACTAAGCTTTGGAGTCTGGGCACATATAAAAGAACCACTGCAACAATAAACATTTTAAGTTCTTTGTTTAAAACAGAAACAATAACTCATTAATAGCTACTGAGGTATTGTCCTTGGTTCTGATGAAAGATAAAGAGATTCTATTTCTTGAAATTAAGTGTAATTCCAATTCAATTTGCTTTCACATTTAAGAAATTTCCACTTGGTGCTATAATATTAGACATGTATTTATAAGAAATATCTAACTTTAGTTGGAAATACAAGGAAATGTCCTCTGTTATCTTTGATAAATTTCCTAAATTTCTCCAGAAGTTGTATAACTCCATTTTGGGTGTATCACCTTTCAAAACATCTAATGCCTTCATGAGGACTTTCATTACATTCTCAGCATTTCTTTGACTTTTATAGGAGAAAAGCATTAAATATTTTAAGGTGAAGATGAATAAAAAATGTCTACTTATGTTGGATTCAGTGCAGCATTTCCTCTTAGTTAATAATTACCTACTAAAAGAAATCTGGGCTCCTTGAACAAATTACTGATTTTGAGAATGATACAATAAGCAAACATATACAAGGCAAAAGATGCTTGTAGTAATAAAAAATAAGAAATCATTTAAACACAAACACAACACCTATGTCAAAGATATAGGAGGGCAAGAGCTCTCAATGGCCAATGTTGGAACAATTTGAACAACAAAATGGAGTCGTATCATATAATAACTGTCTATGATTTCATAATGATATCAGATAATTATTAAATAAATAAATGTGAAGAATAGAATTTCCAATCAGAGCAACTTCAAAGGTACTCAGTGATTAAAAAGGTGAGATACAACTTCTTAAAATGTGGGCTATTGATGGTGACTTTCTTCCAACCAGTACACAGAGCATGGGCAGAGTAACTTTCCACTGGAGAAACCTAAAGCTTCTACTTCAAAATAAAAAAGAATGTAATCATTGCTAGTCTTGGTACAAAGGTAACAGAATGGTGCTTTCCCTGTGTGGGCTTCCTCCCAGTACCCCAGTTCTCAAGTGTAATCAAGATAAAACCATCAGACCACTCTATAAAATGTCTGACTTACCATTTTCAAAACTGTCACAATTATAAAAAAAAAAACAGTAAGACTAAGAAATTACCAGAGTGAAGAGAAACTTAATGGGAATGGTGACCACAGGTAATGCAATAGCCTGACTGGGACCCTACGGGAGTAAGATGAAACCAAAGGTGATATGAACAGAAGGGTGGTAAAACGATATTAGTTTGTTAATTGACAAATGTACGACCCTGATATAAATATGGGTATAGCAAAAGTGGGTAGAAGATAAATGAGAGTTCCAAGGTCTCAACTTTTACTTAGATATAAAATTGTTATGAAACAGAAAGTTTATCTTTTGAAGATCTATATATTTCAGGTGCCACAGACATGCGTGGGCACATTGGCATCCAAAAAATGTTTGTTAAATTGCGAAAATGAAACTTGTTTCTCAGTCTTCAGAGTCTTCCCTTCTATATCACCTTCCATCCGATAATTCTTCTTTTGTGGTATTCATTTGCCTTTGCGGTGCTGACATTTGAGCCCAGAGCCTCACCCATGTCAGGCAGCTACGCTAACAACAAGGTACAACCCAAATCCCTGGTCTTTTATTTAGTTCCAAAGAAGACTTAGATGGCAGAAATGGTACATAAATAAAGCAGTTTTTCTAGTGGAAAAGTCAGAAGTCATTAATAAAGGTAAATATTGTTATTTATAATCACAACAGAACTTTAAAAAAATTTAATGCCAGTGAGATTCGATATTATTTTACAAGTACTTTCATATTTATTTGCAATAATAATTCTTGTACTAATGTACTCCAAAGACAAGATAGGCACTACTTTCTCTACTTTAAATATTGAAATCTTCACATGAGACAAGTACAATGTATGTCAGGTTGAGAATTGCTTTAAATTTACATACTGGCAGTAGTTAGCTGGGGTTCTGGCTAGCTCTTTCAGTTTTCTGGAATTTAGTTTTCCTATCTGAGACATGGTGAACATCCCCATGGTAGAGAGGTTATGTATAACACTTCTCCAATACTGAATATAGAGAGTATAATAAATTTATTCATATTTTAAAATAAAGAACTACACTATTAAAATATTTAAGGATGGAAATCAAAAAAGAAAATCTACAGAAGTGAGCAAAGGTATAGAAGCCCCGTTGTCACAGGGGGTAAGACTAGCCCTGCATGTGTGGTCACCTCTGGCCTTCAGATGTGGGCTCCTGACATGGCTCAGATTGTGTTTTACCCTTATGTCCCCTCTTGTTTTCCCAAAGAGTGTCACCAAGGTCAAGACTGCTATGAGGCTGATTCTCAGGTCATGGCAGTGAGGCACAAGCACAGAAAATGGGGCTGCAGTTGTGTTTTGAAAGGGGGATGTCAACTGAGCTAATGACTGAGCTCCCTGTGGATCCAGACAATCAAGGTGTGTGGGGTGTGGCACCCACAAAATAGCCTTTCAATGAGGAGGCACAGAGAAACCCCTGTGAGATTAGCAAACCTGAAGAAATGGGAGAATTCTTACTTAAAGAAATGGAAGTAATGGGGAAATAATAGAAAACGTTGGAAAGCAGTTATAAAAGATGAAAGTGAGACTCTCAATAGTAAGTGTAATGAAAGATAGAAATGAGTTAATTTCTCAGAGAGACAAAATGACATAAACACTGAGGAAAAAATTAATAGACACAGTGGCTGAAAAGCACCAACTTGAGTCTAATAATTGCAGTAGAAGAAAAAGAAACTATAAAGAATGGAAAAGATGATCTAAAAGATTTGGGTAATAGCTGTAGTTTTCCAGAATTAATTAAAGGACAGAACTTCTCTAGTCTCTAAGCCTAGAGAACCCCAATATATGCACATAGCCGGGGAAATAAAAATAAGCCCACACAGAGACATCACAAGGGACAAGAGACCATAGACCTGCCAGAGGGGACAAATGACCTTTAAAGAATGGATGGGGAGTTGAGTATTAGTCATTTCTCATTAATAAAAGAATTTGTTCAAGTGCTATAGTAAAATAATATTGAATGTAGACTCATATCTTTAAGAGTAAATGTAAAATGAAAACATTTACAGGCATTTAAGCATAAATTTAATTTTCATGATACTCACTGCAGGAACTATTGAAGGATAGAATTCATCAAAAAGATATATTGAGAAGGAAGGGCTAAGTTTCAAACAAGTTGACAAGCAAAGAAAGTAGATAGTTGAGTGATAAAAAATATACTATTTCTACAGTAAATAAGCAAATATGCTTATTATTTTCTAAAGATATTGAGACTGAAATTCTAGACATTGGTATTATAAAAATTGAAAGGGAGAAAAATCTAATGAGTATTGAGGTATACTAAGGGCTTACCTAGTATATACTTTTTCAAAAATTTAGTAATGGCTTAAATGTAATAAACTTTGAGAACAAACTGAGATAATTTTAAGAGACAAAATCATGTAAGCAAGTTTAAATACTACATGGTTTCTCTTATATGAGAAACTTAAATTATAAGCAAGTAGCAAAATAAAAGCTAGATAATCAGAAGTAGGGAGACAGATCTTTCTCAAATGAGAAGGAGCTCAAGAGATGGAAGGAAACAGAAGGGAGTGATAGGGATGAAAATAGAAGTTAAGATGTACTGGATGTATGTCCCACAGCCTCAGAAGGAATATAAACATCATGTGCTGCAAGTAGGTACTAATAAAATTTTAAAATGTGTAATTTCAAAATGAGATAAGAAGGAAAGGGGCACAAGAAAAATATTCAAGGGGCTGGGGAGATGGCTCAGTGGAATAAGCACTTCCCTGGCAAGCACAAGGGCCTGAGTTCAATCCCCGGTTCTGAAAAAAAAAAAAAATCTAAGAAAAATATTCAATAAAAACTGATGAAGAAAAAAGAAGTAAAGCAAAAGTCTTATTCAGAATGCAAAATAAGGTGGTTGAAATAAATGCAAGCATATATGGAAGGATTAGATTTTAGAATGCTACTTACTATATAGAATTCATGTCTCATTTAAATTTAAAATCTCTAATAACACAATTATAATACAGATAAACCACATATATGATCAATGATGTAGGGCATCTTAAATAGACCAAAACTTCAAAACTTATCAAATTTGCACAGTGGTTGGTTTTATATGTTGGGTTAAGGGGACCAGGAAGACTTAATTTTATAATATATCAATGCTTTGTATACTAAAAATGGG